TTTGCTTTCTGTGCATGCAGTGACATGTTGCTGTTTGCAGTTTCCCACCAGCATCCTGCTGTCCACATCACCATGTCCCTTCCCATACTGCTCCTTCCTTTATCGGGTCTTTAGCACTTACTGGCAAGTGACACCGTTTCCCCTTCCATGACAGCAATTTCCAGTGGATTTCTGCAGAGCTCACATCGGTGACAGAAAAATTGCAGCCTGCACCACAAACAGAGGCTTTGCTTTGCTTTGTGTGCCCTATGGGGCACAGCCTTTGCCTGACCCCCTTGACCCACTGCTGACAAATTCCCATCCCAATATCCATCTGGGTCTGACAGCTGGGGCTGCAGGGACAGTCTGTGGTGCTGAGACTCTCAGGCTCTGTATCTGTCTCCAAGCATTACCCATCCTAGAAGTTGCTCTTCAGGAGGGCCACATCTGTGCTCTTTACCTGTCCTCTAGTTTTCTCCTGCCAGTATCTTAGAGATGTTGCACAAATAAAACCCACAGTGTAGTGCTGTACTTGAAAAGGTTTAAGGTTTTGCAGTTTGTCCCAGATGAAAAATACTGCCAACAAGAAAGTGGTGTGAGGGATGATGATGATTGCAAGCAGGAATGAGGGCATCTGTAGCTGCATTGCGGGAGAAAGGAATAAGCCAAGCCTTTCATTTTTAGCTTCAGTTTCAGACTGTAGTTTCATGAGAGACAGATTGCCCTGGATGAGAGCAGTGTGAGCAGCTCTCATGGCTTTGGTACGGAGCGGGTCGCACACGAGATCCAGAAGGCAGGAGATGGCTGCAGATGGAGCCTACATGTGGTGTAGCAGAGCAGAGCAGCACACAGGATGGGGCTGTGCAGCAGGGTGAGCCGCAGGAGGGAGGACATTCGTAATGTGAGAGCTGTTCTGAAAGCTGGGGAGGAGCAGTGTGGATTTCAGGCTTTGGCACCTGAGCTGGAGGAGTTTCTGAATGGACTAAGGCTGTTGGAAAATGATTTTATGCTTCTAAGAGCAGTTTTGGCAAAAAAAAAGTCTGAGAGATACTTTTCCAAATGATGAAATGCACTCCCTGTGCCATGCATCCCAAACTGCTTGTGCATCCGGCAGCGGTGGGATGAGGCAGGTGGTGGGAAGTCCAGAATGGGTCGAGGATACCACAGAGCCATAGAACCACAGAATGGTTTGAGTTGGAAGGGACTCTTAAAGACCCTCTGGTCCAACCACCCCGCAGTGCGCAGGGATACCCACAGCTCCATCAGTGCTCAGAGCCCATCCCCTGAGCATGGGTGTCTGCAGGGATGAGGCACCACCGCCTCTCTGGGCAGCCTGTGCAGTGCCTCACTAATGGATGTTCACTCTCAGACATGCAAATAGGGAACAAAGCATCTCCGCTTTCTTATTGAAAATCCTTCATAAAATATATATCCTGCAATAAAACAGAGCACAGTAATGGGCAGCATTTTTCATAAACTTTGTGTCTCCCAGTATTTTACACCGTTAAATATATTGCTTTGTTTAGGATTTATCCTCTTCATGCATTTTAAAGATAGAAAGGTCTGGAGCTGGGTTTGCCAGAAGGGGTAGCGTTTGTAAATCTCTGATTTTATCTTTCCTTCAACATTTATGGCTGCTGTTACAGAGTGCGAGACGCCCCGATCATTGCTTACGCCGAACTCCTTGTCATGTTAAGTTAAAGTGCATATGTGCTACCAATATGGATCTGAGACAGCGAAGATGCTGCCTTTGCAAACATCCTGACGCCGAGCGAATTAGCAGAAATAGATTTGAAGATAGGGGGAACATAAACAGACAACGCAGGGAAATGGATCCTTCAGTGCTGTGTCTGCATGTCTACCAAAGCTGTCACTTCCTGGTGCTTTGCCTGCACGGTTACTCCTGTTTGTTTCTGCATGACAAGCAGCATCAACACTCACCCGGCACTCGCAGGCTCCATCTGGGTACGCAGTCAGCTGCTATAATTAGGGAGAGAACGGCGTTGTTCATTTTATTGGCGTTGCTGGAAATCAGTGGGTTGTGTTTGCACTCATTAGCGTTCGGATTTGCAATGCATGTTCTCCATTTCTTATGTTCTGTTGGAACGCGTGCAATGGCAGCTGAAGTAAAACAATTATTTTGGAGATTATTTCATTTTTCTGAAGGATAAATGATTGAGTGAGGTGAAAAGAAAAGTTCCTGGTCAAGGTGACAGCCCAGGAGCCATATGAGTGACTTCATCAGTTCTCTTCTACTCAGGAGAGCACTTTGGCTTTTGCTGAGATCTCAAGAGATGCAGAGAGGACGCACAAATCAGCAGCAGGCCATCTAAGGGGCTTTCTTTTTTGCTTGTTTGTTTTCTATGAATCAGTTCCCTGCTGCCTTTCATGCTATTTTTGGCCATGTGCTAGCAAGGAGTCGGTAGCTAATATTTTAGATGTAGTGCCTGGAGGAGCTGGGATGCTGTGTGCAGCAAGCAGCACATTGGATGCAGGGGGCTCCAAGCGAGGGCTGCTGCAGCAGAAGGGCTTTGCATTCATTCTGCAGCACTGGGACTGGTGACACAAGTGATGCTTGCCCCTCCCCCTGGCTCACTCTTGGATTTATTACGAAATAAGCTGCGACTGAAACCATGTGTGTACCTTGATGAGTGTTATCCTTCAGAAAATAATGTTTCAACAATGTCTGCAACAACAGCTGCTTTAATACTGGTGAGCTGTTGACATCTCATTCACACATCAGTATAACATTCATGTCTACTAATGGTTTGGTCAGCATGTAGTAGTGCAGCTGTTGCAAATTGAACAGATGATGGTAATTTAGAAACATGGATAAATGCATCAGCGCAGCTCTATCCCGGGTGCACTGAGCACAAAATGCAACTTGTCACCAGCAAAAAAACCCATAAACTTAGAACAAAATATTGTTTAATGGATATACTTTCCTTTCGGCTGTCACCACTTTGCTATCTGCTGAACAGATTCTTCCTCACTGGAGAAACTGTACAACAGCCTGCCTACTGCTAGCACATTGGTATGCCTGCCAAGAGCAGAACAGTGCTGGTGTATCCATGTCACTACCTATTCCTGATCCCATCCCAAACTGTGTAGCATTTGAGAGCGCTCTCAATGAGATTTCACATGACAGTAAGTTCTTAGGAAGTGTGGTGGTACAAAAGCCCTACAAAAACCCCACAGCACAGCTCTGCAGCCATTTGGTGCTGGGTGTAAAGCCGGCCTCTGTGTTCTGGCTGCTCAGGAAGATGTCCGAGTTGGTTCGCGCTGGTTCCATTTTAGGGACTGCCACGTGTTCCAAAAGAGCAAGAAGAACAGTCCAGTACAGAAGCAGAGCTTCCAGTAATCCAGCAGAAAAAAGGGTTGGGTCGTGCGCTTTGCTCACACCAACCCCAAGACGTACCGCAGATTGGGGGCCGAGTGGCTGGGAGCTGCGTAGAGGAAAAAAGTCCTGGGGGTGGTGGGCAACAGCCGCTGAACACGAGCCAACAGTGTGCTCAGGTGGCCAGGAAAGTCAGCGGCATTCCTGGCTTGTGTCAGCAGCAGTGCGGTCAGCAGCAGAAGGGCAACGTCCCTCTGCACTCAGCACTGTGAGGCTGCACCTTGAGCGCTGCGTTCAGTGCTGCCCCTCACTGCCAGCTGGACATTGAGGCCCTGGAACGTGTGCAGAGAGGGGAATGGAGCTGGGAGGGCTCTGGAGCACAGGGCTGAGGGAGCTGGGTGGGTCAGCGTGGAGGAGACTCAGGGGAGCCCTCGCTGCTCTCTACAGCTCCCTGACAGCAGCTGGGGGCGAGGGAGGGATTGGCGTCTGCTCCTGGGTAACAGCCACAGGATGAGAGGGGTGTCCCTGAGTAGGGCCAGGGGAAGTTCAGGTTCGATGTTAGGAAAGACCTCGTCAGAAGGAGCAGTTAGCACAGGCACAGCTGCCCAGGAGCGGTGGGGTCACCTGCCTGGAGGTGTTGCAGAGCCTTGAAGATGTGGCACTGAGGGAGGTGGGCAGTGGGCATGGTGGGGTGCGGTTGCGCTCGGGGATCGCAATTCTCTTTCTGGCCTGAGTGATTCTAGGATCCTAAGCTTTGTGGCTCCCCGTCTCCCTGCGCTGGCTGCCGGCCCTTTCCCTGACGGGCCAAACTGCGGCCAAAACTGCCGAGTCCAAAGGCAGGAGGGAGAGGAGGCCCCAGGTGCCCTCCCCTCCCCTCTGAGGAGAGGCAGCACTGAGGCAGAGTGCGCGGGGCCGGGAGGGCCATTGTAACGGTCAGCGTAACTGCCAGGGCAGGGAAGGCGTCAAGGGCTTCGATTCCCAGAGTGGGAAGGGAGGGAACCAAGCATGAAGGCTTTTTTTCTGATTAATTCTGTGATTTTCCTCTGAACTTACACGCCTGCCCCAGCTGATAGAGGTTCTGACAAAGTAGAATGGCATTCGGCCTCCCTAAAAGGACACACGAGGCTGGTTGAACATCACAGAGCATCCTCTGAAATTGAGGTGACCGAGCACAGATCTCACTGCCCCAGGGGACGGTGGACTCTCCCGTCATGGCAGTATTCTGAAGCCGTCTCACCACGGCACTGTGCAGCTGACGCTGCAGTCCCTCCTTGCACAGGTCACACTCAAACACAGCTCTGAGTTGAGCAAGGCATTTCTTGGCTTTTGTGCAGAGGCCAAAGCTCCCGGAACAAAAGGGACGCGGCTCTCGGAGAGGCCGGGCGGTCCCTGCCCAGCTGTAACAGGAGTCTCTGTTAGAAGCTCTGTGCAGACACCTCTTCAGCTGCACGGGGTCCGGCTCCTCACGGTGTGGTAGCAGGGAACGGCTGCCGTGTGCGGTGCTCCCGGCAAGCAGAGCTCTGCACACGAAGGCTGTCTTGCTCCAATTTATAGGAGGGAGATTTAGGAGGTTCTTTTAATATCTGTGCACACGACGGCAAAATTAAGACACAACAGGTCAAATGTTGGCCCGACCAGTTTATTGCGAATCCTAGTTGCCTAGGGAGATGGAAAGGTAGGTCGGGCGATGGAAAAGAGATTGGAAATAAAAGCAAGGAGTCTCTGTAGATAGCAAGAGACAGAGACAATGAGTCACCACTGGGTCTCTAGTGTAACTCGTAGCTCAGATGTTGATCCTCAGTAGAGATGGGCCGTCGGAGGTTGTTGTTCGGGTGATGACGACGACCACAGCAAACGACTTTTTCCGATGACAGTACAAACTTAGAAGTCAAGTCCCAAGAGGTCGAGTCAGCTGTCGTTGGAATGACAGCTTCTGTCCACAAACTGGTGCTGACTGCCACATGGCAACACCCACCTCTGGCCTCCTAGACAGGCCAGAGTCTTATTGCTCACAGCATGTGAACTTAGAGCCAAAAAGAGGGAAGAGTTCAGCCAAAGGACTCTCTCAGCGTCCAAACAGCAGCAGTCTGAGGAGGCGATCTCTCAGCACCCTGAAGTCACGCAGTGCCCTGGACTCGGCGTCCGGGTCGTCCTCCAGGTGCTGGAAGAGGTTGACCGGGGTGGCTGTCCGGAAGCTGTGCGGCAGGATAACCTCGTCAGGCATCATCTTATTGCCAATGAAGAAGTGGACCAGGCGTTTGTACTTCAGGCAGAAGTGCAGGTACTGCAGGATACTCTCCAGCCGACTGAGGAAATTCCTCCTTTGCCAGTTCCCCAAAGGGATGATGTTCACGAGGTGGAAGACGAGAGTCTTGAGGACATAGTTGGAAAAGCCCATGCCCACCAGGGTGTGGGCTAAGAACCTCAGGCAGCTCTGGATGACGCTGTTCTCTCCAGCCTTCTTGAGCAAGTACTGGAAGTACTTCATTTCCGCCACAGCACAGCTCTGCGGCCATGTGGTGCTGGGCGTAAAGCCGGCCTCTGTGTTCTGGCTGCTCAGGAAGATGTCCGAGTTGCCTTGCTGCACCCCAAACAGCAGCTCAACCAGGATTTTTTCCCCGCTGGAGGTGTTTGTCAGCTGGAGCTTACAGGAGCGTCTGGAGGGCAGCACCTTTAGGTTGTAGGCGTCTGCCTGAAGGGTGGTGTTCCAGATTGTTGCCACCTGTACCCTGAACCAGGTGACGATTTTCTCCACATCCAGGTAGGCGTCAGTGCAGAGGGTCTGTAGGAGGCTGGGGTCCTGATTTTGGACCAGGTCTTCCACAGGGTGGTGGAGGAAGCACAGCACGTCCCCCAGCTGCTGCTCCCTCTCGCACATGCACTTCAGTTCCACGCGGACGCGGGGGTTCCTTGCCAGCTCGTCCTCTTCATCATACAGCTCCAGGTGGAAGATGTGCCCGCGGGGGGCCTCCACAGGCACGAGCAGGCGGTACACAGTGTCCTCCTCCCGGGGACTCCAGCCTTCAAAGGCGCTGCCCACCCCGATGGCAGACCGCAGGGTTGGATAGAAACTGTTTGACCAGACAAATCTGCAGGCCAGCAGGAGGTCGCTCATCAGCTCCTCCACCAGCTGGCATCTGGACGGCCTTCCTTGTGCCTTTAGAAGAGCACGCTCTGCAATAAATCTGGTCCAGGGTATTCTGTAGAAGTCCACCTCGTCCTGTTGTTCCTGTTCCTCCTGTTCCACCTTTTCCTCCTGTTTCACCTTTTCCTCCTGCTCCAGCTTTTCCTTCTGCTCCACCTTTTTCTCCTGTTCCACCTTTTCCACCTGTTCCACCTGTTCCACCTGTTTCTCCTGTTCCTCTTCCTTTTGCTCTGCCCCCGCTGCCTCCTCCTTGCTGCTGAAGCTGTCCTCTTCACTGCTGCTATCATGGTGCTGGTTCATTTTTTCGGACTGCCACATGTTCCAAAAGAGCAGGAAAAACAGTCCCATACAGAACCAGATCCTCCAGTAATTCAGCAGAGTAAAGAGCAGAGCTGGCACGTCCACCCATCTCTGCTCCACATTCCATTGCTCTGTCTCGTGCTGCAGTTGTGTCATCTGCTCTCGCAGATTGACCTCCTGCTGCTGCACGCCCTCGAGCATGACCGCATTGTCACAAAGAGCCCTCACCAACAAGGCGAGAATAAGGACGAAAGCCATGATCTGCAAGAGATGGGAGAGAGGGGCTCAGTGGGACTGGGAAGGAGCGGGGCCAGCAGCTGCATGGCCCTGTGCTCAGGGAGGAGCAGTGGGTACGAGGGAGCTGGGTGGCAGCAGGGAGCGAGGCCAGGGCTGGCGGGGACGGTTCCAAGCACTGCCCGTGGCACTTCCACAGGGGCCGGCGTTTGCACCACTTCCCTCATCCAGCCCGACCTTCCCCTGCTGCTGCACTCACCAATGGCCCAGGTCAAACTGCAGCCGCGCTGCCTGACAGCGGCCCTAAAGCCATCCCCTGCATTGTGATGCTATGCATTCCATGTGATGTCACAAACGGGCAGCGCGACCCCACCCTTTGGCCCTTCTCCCTCAGCTGCCCTGGGCGGCCACAGCCATGGCTCATGGGGATACCCTGTACAGAGCAGGCAGGAGCCCCCCAGGCCTTTCTCAAAAAGAAAATCGGGTGACACGTTGCATGGATGCTGTGCTCCTCATGTGACACCCCTGGTTACGTTCCAAATACACAGTCCCTTGAAATTCATTTGGAGTCCTGTCACTCCTCAGGAAACGTAAGAATTTTCAAACTATGCACAAAACTCATCTTAGTGCTGATATGCCACAAAGGGAGCAAAGCTGAAGGCTGGTGACAGTCCTGTCAAGATCTGCGCACCTGACGTCACGCGGCCCTTTGCTGACTGCTCCCTCAGCCTCCGGTGGTCTGAAGGTGCTCTGAGCCAAAGGCTGGCTGGCTCGAGCCGGGCTGCTAGAAGGGCTCTGACAATGAATATTAGGATGCCCCTGTGTGCAGCGGCCTCTGCAGCTGCACGGGCTCTGGCTCCTTTGGGTGAGGTGTTGCTGTAGAGAAAATATGTAGGAGCAAGTGCCGCTGCCCACTGAGCAGCGTCTGCTCCATGTTACAGAATCACACGTGCCCGAGGCAGGAATATTTCTCGAAGGCTAACAGAGAAAGGCTGGGCTGGGAGCCTGTGAGCGCTGAACCCAGGCAGCCCCGTAGGCATCGAGTGCTCTGGCAGCTAAGGAGATGGCCCTGTAGGATGGGAGCATGATCATAGAATCATAGAATCACAAGGTTGGAAACGACCTACCAGATCATCGAGTCCAACCATCTCCTCATCACCACTGCCACCACCAGCACTAAACCATATCTCGCAGCACGTCATCCAGACACCTCTTGAACACTGCCAGGGACGGCGACTCCACCACCTCTCTGAGCAGCCATTCCAGAGCCTGACCACTCTCTGAGAGAAATAGTTCTTCCTTATGTCTAATCTAAACCTCCTCTGATACAACTTGCGGCCACTGCCCCGTGTCCTGCTCGTTGCCTGGAAGAAGAGGCCAAACCCCGCAGCCCTGGAAGGTGTGCAGTGAGGGGAATGGAGCTGGGAGAGCTCTGGAGCACAGGGCTGAGGGAGCTGAGTGGGTCAGCGTGGAGAAGAGGAGGCTCGAGGTGCTGTGGGCGCCCATCCCTGGAGTTTTCTTGATTGCCGAGGATCGCTGCTTCAGAGCTGCTCCATCCTGAAGCGCAGCGACTGACCGCGAGGTGCAGGAGGTTTCGGTCGGTTCCTTCGCTCAGGGATCCCCGAGAGAACAGAGCGGCCGGGCAGCTGTCGGCCGGGCAGCTCTCGCGAGAGCGGCCGACGCGGTGGGGGCGTTGCAAGTGCAACGGCTCTGCACCCCCCCCCCCCTTCATCCCCCCGCCCCCTTGCCTAGAAATAGCCTCAGGGAGGGCTGCAACCGTTCGCTGCCCAGTACAGAAGGTGTGAGAAACACCGGGGTTGATTTATCGAGGAGAAACAATAAGCCACTCATACACGGGACTCCCCCTCAAGGACGGCTGTTGCCGCCCTCGGGTGAGTGATAAGTGTGGGGGCTCCTGTTAACGAGCCGGCAACGGGGCGAGGGCAGAGCCAGCACTGCTGGCAGCAGGGCGGGGCTGATGAGGCGCACCTCATTAAGGCTATTTAGTAGCGTTTATGCCTGCTGGTCTGCGATGGCTGCACCCCGGTGGAAGGCTAATGCCGCAAAAATTACGGAGACCCAGACAGCAATCCCATGCTCACGCCGAAAAATGATTGCAGCCAAGAAGAACCTGGAGACCCAGACGGAGGTCCTGTGCGTGCCTGAAAGGATAGCCGGTGCAAGGACGTGTGTGGAGACTCAGACTGAGGCCCCAACACGAGATGCTAGTACGCAGGTCACTGGCTGTCATAAGTGCCAGAGCCTGGCCTTTGAAGTGCCAGATGAGTGGTAGTTGTATAAGATGTGACCAACTACAGGACTTTAGCCTGGTGGACAACCTAAAGTAGGAGGTAGAGAGGCTGAGGACCGTAAAGGAGTGTGAGAAGGAGATTGACTGGTGGTGCCAGTCCCTATCGGCTCCAAGATCTGGGAGCGTAACTGAGGCACTACGTGGAGCATCTCACCCCCTGCAGCCTCGTAAACAGGTGAGAGAGGGGAAACGGCAGGCTGACGGTGTTGCAGTGAGCCTCCTGTCCTCCACCTTTGAGCAATTTGAGGAAGGGGGAGGAGTGGAAACAGGTAGCGGCTCAACGAAGCAGGCATCCCCCATCCTGACCGTCCTTAGCCCCGCAGGTTTGAGGCCCTGGAGCCTGAGGGAGAGGAGCCTGGGGATGTGGAGGGAGGTCAACCCGTGAGGTTGCCTCGGGTACAGCGGTCGACCCCGCGCCTCAAGACTGCTTCCACCCAGAAGGACAGAAAGGTGGTGGTTGTGGGAGACTTCCTGCTGAGAGGAACCAAAGTCCCTATATGTCGCCCTGACCCTGCCCGTAGGGAGGTGTGCTGCCTTCCTGGGGCACGGGTCAGGGACATTTCTAGGAGACTTCCTGGTCTGATCTGCCCTTCCGATTATTACCTGCTATTGATAGTCTTGATAGTCCACGCTGGCAGTGATGAAGTCTCTGGGAAAAGTCTCAGGGCTATCAAGAAAGACTTCAGGGGACTGGGGTGGGTAGTCGAGGGAGCGGGTGTGCAGGTGGTGTTTTCCTCCATACCTTCAGTGGCAGGGCAGGATGCTGAGTGGTACCAAAAAACCCACCTCATAAATAAATGGCTTAAAAGTTGGTGCAAATGCAGGAATTTTGGTTTGTTTTTTTTTGACCATGGTTTAACTTACTTGGTGCCTGGTATGATGGCAGCAGATGGATGTAGCCTGTCTCTGAGAGGGAGGAGGATCTTAGCTGAGGAACTAGCAGGACTCATTGACAGGTCTTTAAACTAGGTATGAAGGGGGAAGGGGACAAAACCAGAACTGGGGTTGAGTGGGTCATTTGAGGGCTCGTACCGAACTTGATAGGCGATGACGGTGAGGTACAAAGTGATGGACTGGGGCAGGGGGGTGTTGGGGGTGCTACTGTTCTAGGGAAGCCTAGATCCTCTATAATGGTGGTAAGACGGAAAGCCTAGCTGAAGTGCCTTTATACCAACGCATGCAGCCTGGGAAACAAGCAGGATGAGTTGGAAACTGTGATGCGCTTGGAAAAGTATGACCTTGTTGCCATCACGGAAACGTGGTGGGATGAATCCCATAACTGGAACACCACCGTTGAGGGCTGTCAGCTGTTTAGAAGAGATAGGCTAGGTAGGAAGGGTGGGGGAGTTGCCCTCTATGTCGAAGAGTGGATAGACTGTGAGGAAATCCCTCAGAGAAATGGTCAGGAACAGGTTGAGAGCCTGTGGGTTAGATTAGGGATGGGTCTAACAAAGGTCAACTGGTGATAGGAGTATACTACAGGCAGCCTGATCAAGGGGAGACTGTTGATGAGGCTTTCTTGCTTCAGATGTGGGAGGCTTCGTACTCGCGGGCTCTTGTGCTGATGGGGGACTTCAACCATCCGGATATCTCTTGGAAAGACCACACGGCAAGTTGCAAGAGGTCTAGGAGGCTTCTGGAATGTGTTGACAATAACTTTCTGGTCCAGCTGTTGGACAGACCAACCAGAGGTGAAGCGTTGCTGGACCTGCTGCTCACCAGTGCGGAGGAAATCATTAATGGTGTTAAGGTTGGAGGCAGCCTGGGTTGTAGCAACCATGCCCTGGTCAAGTTCATGGTTCTCGAGGGATGTGGGTCTGGCAAAAAGTGGTGTCAGGACCGTGAACTTTAAGCTGGTCAGTGGACTGCTGGCTGAGATCCCCTGGGATGCTGTCTTACAAAACAAAGACGTTGAGGAGAGCTGGCTATTCTTCAAGGATGCCTTCCTGAGAGCACAAGAACTCTCCATCCTTCTGAAGAAGAAAGCGGGCAGAGGAGGTGGGGAGCCGGTGTGGCTCAGTAAGGACCTGCTGGGTGTGCTGAGGGTGAAGAAAGGTGTATACAGGCTCTGGAAACAAGGCCATGTCACCTGGGAAGAGTACAGGGATGCCGTCTGGGCTTGCAGAAGTGCGATCAGGAAAGCCAAGGCACAGGCGGAACTGAACTTGGCGAGGGACGTGAAAAACAACAGGAAGAAGTTCTACAGGTACATTGGCCACAAGAGATGTGCCAAAGTGAGCGTGCCTCCTTTGGTAAATGGAAAAGGAGAACTCGCTTCAGCGGACAGTGAGAAGGCTGAGGTACTGAACGAGTTCTTTGCCTCAGTCTTCACTGGTGGACAAGATTCCAGAACTTCTCACGTTCCTGAGCCCTGCATCCCTAAACCTCTAGGTGGGGACCGGGGTGACAAATCCCCCCTGCTGTGAGGACAGAGCAGGTCCGAGACCGCCTCATGAGACTGAATGTGTGTAAGTCTATGGGGCAGGATGGCTGCATCCCAGGGTTCTGAACGAGCTGGCTGAGGTGGTTGCCGAGCCGCTCTCCATCATTTTTGAAAAGCCATGGCTGTCAGATGAGGTCCCGGATGATTGGAGGAAGGGTCATGTCACTCCCATTTACAAGAAAGGGAGCAAGGAGGACCCTGGGAACTACAGGCCGGTGAGTCTCCCCTCTGTGCCTGGGAAGATCATGGGACAGATCATCCTGGATGATATGCTCGACCACATGAGGGATGGACGTGTCATCTGTGACAGTCAGCACGGCTTCATCAGAGGAAGGTCATGCTTGACCAATCTGGTGGCCTTCTATGATGGAGTGATGGCATCGGTGGATAAGGGAAAGGTGACCGATGTCATTTAGCTGGACTTGAGCAAGGCCTTTGACATGGTCCCCCACCACATCCTCATCTCCAAAGTGGAGGGATGTGGTTTTGATGGGTGGACCACTCAATGGATAAGAAACTGGTTGAAAGGCCGCAGACAGTGGGTGGTCATCAATGGCTCTGTGTCAGGTGGAGGCTGGTAATGAGTGGCGTCCCACAGGGGTCTGTCTTGGTACTGGTGCTCTTCAACATCTTTATCAATGACATCGATGTAGGAATCAAGTGCACCCTCAGCAAGTTCGCTGATGACACCCAGCTAAGCGGTGCGGTCAACATGGTTGAAGGAAGGGATGCCATGCAGAGGGACCTCGAGAGGCTAGAAAGGTGGGCCCGGGTGAACCTGATGAGGTTCAACATGGCAAAGTGCAAGGTTTGGCACTTGGGCCGGAGGAATCCCAGGCATCCGTACAGGCTGGAGGAGCGGTCCTTGAGAGCAGCCTGTGGAGAAGGACCTGGGGGTCCTGATAGATGGAAAACTTAATATGAGCCAACAGTGTTGCGGCTCAGAGGGCAAATGGTATCCTGGAGTCCCTCAAAAGAGGGGTGGCCAGCAGGGACAGGGAGGTGATTGTCCCCCTCTACTCTGCTCTTGTGAGGCCCCATCTGGAGTACTGCGTCCAAGTGTGGAGCCTGCAGTACAAAAAAGACAGGGAGCTGTTGGAGAGGGTCCAAAGGAGGGCCACTAGGATGATCAGGGGACTGGAGCACCTCCCCTATGAGGACAGGCTGAGGGAGCTGGGCTTGTTCAGCCTGGAGAAAAGAAGGCTGCGGGGTGACCTCATTGCAGCCTTTCAATACCTAAAGGGAGCCTACAGAGGGGAGGTGAATCAACTCTTTGAAAGGGTTGATATGTGTAGGATGAGGGGAAATGGTTTTAAGTTGAGGGAGGGGAGATTTAGGTCGGACATCAGGGGGAAATTCTTTACCCAGAGAGTGGTGAGGTACTGGAACAGGCTGCCCAGAGAGGCTGTGGATGCCCTGTCCATCCCTGGTGGTGTTCAAGGCCAGGTTGGATGTGGCCCTGGGCAGCCTGGTTTAGCATTAAACTTGGAGTTTGATGGCCCTGTACGTGGCAGGTGGGCAGCCTGAGCTTGGTGGGCACCCACAGCAGGGGTGGAGCTGGGGGAGCTTTATGGTCCCTTCCAACTCAACCATGCTGTGATTCAACAAACTCTGGTGGTTTATTTATCGCAGATTTGTGTGTTGTACCCTTCATCACCTGTTTCCATAATGAGGGAGTGTCCTCTCTGGAAATGAAGCAGTAGGATGGTGGCAGGTGTTAGTGACATGCTAGCTCTTCTACAGCCTGGCAGACTGTCCACGTGTCTCATAGCTCTTGCACCATCAAAGGGAATGTCTGAGTTCAGCCTACTTTAAAACTACCCAGTTTTTGTGTATTTCTGAAGTGTGCAAGTTAAGGACTTAATACTGTGTTGTTATCTTCTCAGCATCTTCAGTAGCACCAGAAATCTCTTCTGTTAGGAGGGTTTTAGAATAATGCAACTCTTCATGAGCCCTCATTATTTCTCAAAAGGTGACTGTGTTGTTCAAGTGCCTGTATTGTGACAAGCATCTAATTATGGATCCTTTTTGTAGACCCCCAGAGATGCCATTATGTCCACCTGCAGTAAAAGGGAGAAGATTATCATTTGCATTCAGCATGAGCTTCTTTCCATTGTTTGCACCGCACATAAATAAGGAAAACAAATCGACCACTGATCCTCTTTCCATTCTTACATTTCATTTCTGAAAACGCAGTTTTGCTTTGCTTCTTTTCCTCTGAGTATTGCTTGCTACTTCAGCACTAACCTGTTTTCTCTTACCTAATTCAATGTGTGGCATCAGTGGGCAGTATGGCCAACCTAACTTGACTAAACAGGTTTCTCATCCTGTGGAAACAAAAGCAAGGCTGGAGGGGATGGCATGGCCAAAGGTAAAAGCTTACTCACTAACTGCAAGATATTCACCATCTTTTTCCTTTCTCTATTTTCCTCTTTTTTTTTTTTTTTTTCTTTTTACTTAATTCCCCTTTTCTCAAATCTTTCTGATGACTGAAGTTCTCATCTAGGGCTCCCCATCCATCTCTATAAATACCTTGTGCATTTTGGCGCACGCTCCTGATATCGGAGTTAAAGGATGAGAATGGTGATTGCCTACCCCTCTGCTAGGTCAACATGAGCAGGCAACTCCCAACTTCCCATCAGCCCACCATGGGTCTTTCATTGCATTTCGTGGTTACTTCCACTGGCAAAGGACAGAGGTATGAGCTTTGTGGAAGGACTTCGCTCTACTTGTTTTATCTAATGCTCCATCCCTTTTAGACCTTCATGGGAAGATAACATCAGCAAATGTTTTGGTTTCTCCTGTTTGGTTTTTGCATAATTCAGGTGACAGTATGCAGCATTTTGCACCGCAGTGCCTGATTTGCGTTTGCCACGTTCTGCACCCAGCAGTGTCATTCTCAAAGTACAGAAATTCCACAGAAAGCAGAGAGATGGGTGCAGGGCAAGGATGGACCTGTGCCATGACTGACAGTCATTGTTGGCCTCTTGTTTTTTCCTATTCCATCTGTCAGAAACTTGTGGTTAGCAATGCTTGCTACAAATCCAGCTGTTAAAACATGTTTCAAGTCAATCCAGATATTTTTATTATTTTTTTTTTTTAAACTGTGACAAACTGAAGGAACACTGTGGTGGTATGGTGAGCTAACGAAAGATCAATGAAAAGTGACTTAAAAATGGAAAGCCAATATGTGTCTTTTTGGCTTATATGGGCTCATTCAATTCTGAAACACGTAGTTCCTAAGGACAAATCCACAGAGATTTTGGAGGTATGCTGGAATTGTTTTCTAAGGCAGCACTGTTCCCCCAAGGATACTGGGCAGCTCTGATTGCAGGTGACCCGTCTGTATCACATCTTCTGGTAGTCTTTCAGGAACTCAACTTCTGAGCCTGCACAGCAGGGCTGGGGTACACAGGATGCTCTAGGATGGTGCACAAAGATGATACGTATGTATTTTGTATATTTGAGAGCTCCTCTGTCACATCTGCCCCTCTCTTTAGAGGCTCAGCTACCCCACTACATGCCTATGGATGAGCAACCATGTTGGGCACTTGGTGTCATTTTTGCCATTACACACAAATCACTCTTGGTGGGACACTTCTGAGGCCACAAAGGTAATTCACCTTCGTGTAATTTACCCTGTAACAAAGTGTCACTGGTCTTCACAGGTTTAAATTAAAGGAAACTCAAATCTAATGATTTAAGTCATGTTTTGTCATGTTTGGGACATCACACTTACGTTTTTCACATTTAGGAAGAAGGAAGGCTGTAACACCATTCTGGTGAATAGCTCATGGCCCAGGATGCACTGAAATGGCATTTCCCCTCTGTATCTCCTGTGCAAGATTAGTGTGTTCAGCTAAATACCATACACAGTGCTGTAAATCTACACATCTGCAGTCCTACAAAAGACAGCTTCTGTGCACTTTTGCTTGGGAAGTAGGAAAGGAGAAGATGCAGTGAAGGCAGCAGTCACTGGAAATATCCGTTGTGTGTACAGATGTCATTCCGTATTATTTGTGCCAGGTACAGCAGCTGTCGCTGAGCCTTTCCCTGCTCAGTGCAGTGCAGCTTGTTTTGATATCTCTATTCTAGTCAGCTGGGCCATGAGGAATGAGCACTGAGATCCGTTGCATCACTCCAGTTCGGCCCTGTCAGGAGCTCAGGGAATTTTTCCCCTTCCCTGCCCACACCTGGGCCCAGGATGGCTTTGAGGAGTGAGTCAGCGACAAACTGTTGCCTTGAATCCCTTGAAAAAGGATAGAGGCAGTTAATCCTAAAATGTGCCTCTGGAAGAAGATGCAGAGAAGATGCATAACAGAATGACAGTGAGCTGGGGGTGGTCGCAGGCTGGGTAGCAACGCTTGGCTCCACAACCGCCTCTCTGACCATCCTGCTGTCCTTGTTTTCCCTTTTTTGTTGCTGTCTCCTGCAGGCAAGGCCTACGCCCCGGAGTTCTACTATGACACTTACAACCCGCTGTGGCAGAACCGGCCCCGCGTGTACTCCTACAGCCTGCAGTGGACCCAGATGAACCCCAACGCCGTGGACCGCATCCTCGCCTACCGCCTGGGGATTAGGCAGGTGAGGGGAGAAGCTCCTTCATGCAGGAGCTGCCTGTTGGTTTGCTGACCTCTGCCAGGGCTGCCCGGCCTTATTTGTTCTTTTTTATTTGTGTTATTTTACTTTATTTCGCTCTGTGTTGTTTGTTTTCCTCCCTCTTTCCTTGTTCTGTGAATTGGAGTGGTCTCTCCTCCTTCCAGAAGGTTTGCTGTCATCTTGCAGGTGTGGTCCTGTGCTGTGTGCAGATCCTGGAAGCTAATTTGCACATTTCCAGTGTGAAACAGAGATTAAAAGAGCTGCTCCTCAGAGGGTTTGCAGAGGCTGCAGCTCGAAACACATTAGAAAGACTACATAAAAGAAGTTTTCAATGAAATTAAACTCTTTATGTATCTATATATCTTTTATATGATCTTCTGTGTAAATAGGTAACTATAGGAGCAGATGTAGCTTTCCTTCAGAAACATTTAGTTACCCTTGAGAACAGAGCCATCTTCCCTAACTGCACTGAAGTCAAGCTTGTATGGGTCTTTGGAGATTCACCAAGAACTTATCAATGGGGCTTGGCTCTCTTGCAGAGGAATTGATAGCCATCACCATTCGTTCACCCCTTTGCAATTTTAAAAATATCATCTGTCTTCTTTTGATGTGATCATTACAAAGCCTGAGTTTTAAAAGCCAATTAGAGAACCAATTTGTGCATTGCTTAAATTGATTAAATGAGAACACCTCTCTTTACTCCACTCCATGGGGTAAAATTAATGTTAGTTTGCTTTTGCACTCTCCACCAGCTAAATCAATACCAAAAAAATCACAAGTATGTCTTCTGAAGGCAGAAAATGTTTGTGCCACACCATTTGCCTGTGGTTCTGTTCAGAATATGTCCCTGCCAAATGTTACAGATGTGCAAAGACTGATATTGCCAGCTTGATTTTTGGCAATTCTGGGCATTCTCAAGGGAAAAATGCCTGGTTTGGAAATGATGCTTCTTGGTGTGAGCTCCTCCTTGGCTACCATGGTCACCTCTGGGTCATATTGGACTTACTGGCTGCCAACTTGGGGCCCTGAACTCCTGCTCCGAGCCTGGACCTGCTGCCATGAAATTAAGATGTTCCACTGCCAACATGGGAGAATATACCTGATGCTTTTTGGGGCTTGTTTTTCAATCTGCTGTTGAGCTGGCCTTCCTTAAATTGTATCTGAATTGATGGCACAAGGAGGTGTTTGGTTATTCAATGGCTGAAATAAGAGTCTGTGCAGGGAGGCTAGAAATCAGGGTTCAAGACCAATTCGTGAAGGCGCAGAGTGGAGGGCAGGAGGTATTTTGTTGTCTCAGTGAAAATCAGTGACTTTTAATAAATGTTTGTGTCATTTGGAACCAATCACTTCTGTTCCTCCTGGTACCCAAGAGAAATTATTAAATTTTAAAAAAGAATTTGCTGAAGCAAAATAATATGTAATGAAATTAGTGGCATTAGGTGTTTCTGCTGCTTTTTTTTTTTTTTCCCCATTCCATTTTAACTTACTTTTAATTATCAATTTTGTGTGCTTAAAATTAGTAGTGACTTTACTGTAATTACCTCAAGAACCCTTCCATCAGGTCAATCAAAACAAGTTTTATTCCTCTGTCTGAAGTCACATTTAAAATGAGAGTGATTTAGAATCTAGCAAACCATCCGGACACACTCACCCATCACTGCAGTAATTCCCCTGAAACATGGGCCATAATTAACATCCTTCCTTCCCTTTGCACTCTCTATTACTCATTGCTAGCACACTGCCCTCTGAAATCATGGTGTTTGGATCGTTTACTTAGCAGTGTTTTTTTATAATATGTTGCAAAACACTGCTAGGTGGATTGGGTCAGTGTTCTGGTGGCTGCTTGTGGTTAGAAGTACAGCATTATCTTTGATTGGTAAACTGGTTTTGCATTCAGACTGCTGAGACCTGAGCTCCAGTACCTGTTCCTCTTTACCCAGCCTGTATATTGCTGCTTAGCTGAAGGAAGAATCAAAAGGCAGTAAGTTGGGAATACATGTGGGATTTTATAGGGCCTGGGACTGGATGCACGTTACAGAGCTGTACAGCTACCTGGTCACTGGCCACAGGTGCGTGAGGACTGTCTGGCCTATAAAAGTTCTTTGCTATGAGAGGTATTATTGGTAATAGGTGAACGGTTGGACTGGATGATCTTTTAGGTCTTTTCCAACCTTGGTGATTCTATGATTCTATGATTCTATGAGATTGGTGAGGTGCTGGAACAGCTGCCCAGAGAGGCTGTGATGCCCTGTCCATCCCTGGAGGTGTTCAAGGCCAGATTGGATGGGGCCCTGGGCAGCCTGGGCTGCTGTGAAATGTGGAGGTTGGTGGCCCTGCATTGGTGGGGGTTGGAGCTTCGTGATCCTTGAGGTCCCTTCCAACCCGGGCCATTCTATAAAAGCACACAAGCAGCAGGTCTTAGATGCACTCACCAAGTACCTCTGCGGCCATTGGATTGGAGCCCCAGGAGTTGTTAGTGACCAGCTCCTTGCTGGTGTTCAAGGAGGAGCAGCAGAGGTGTGCACACTGCTTGGTGGCTGTGCTTGGTCAGTGCCCTCAGCACCAAGGAACACCAGCACCAGGGGGCCACTGTCTCAGCGCTGTGTCACCTGGAAATGAAGACAGGGGCTGTGCTTCTTAAGCAGTGGTGCTAAGCACAGAATGAAGGCAAAAGGGTGCTATTATGGGAAGAGACAATCAGAGGAGAGAGAAGGGTCATTTTTCTGCCTACAGAGTGAAAATAGGAACAGATGAATGGAAAGAACTATACTAAAGCAACATACTTAGAATGAAAGCCACTTAGGAGGAATGTATGTATGTTAGCACACTCCGGGCTCCACCTGACGGGTAATCAATTTGCAGACGTTCACTCTATCAAGATCGTGGTGCTGTCATCACACAAGTCAGCCTACTGCAAAGAGAAAGGCATTTTGAAGCATGGTGTTTCCTTTTGTTATGCTACAGAAAATTTACGGTAGCTGTACATCAGTATGTATATAAAAATGTGATTCAGAGCTGTTCGAATGTATGTACTCAAATCTGTGGCAATTAATTTTAGGGGAGGAAGTGGGAGAGCTGAAAAGGCGAATTGAAATGTATATTGGAATATTTCTAGTGTTGTTTTCATGAAATACTTGAAACATTCTTCTTCAGAAGAAATGAGGAAATAAGCTGTCCTGAAGTTTTCTTCGCAGCTCTTGTTTCCTTTAGGAAGTCCAAGCAAGGCATTTTTATATTTTATCTTTTATATTTTATATTTTAATATTATATTTGGTATATTTAATATATTTTTATATTATATTAATATATTATCTTTTGGCTTAATCTTAATGAAATGAGGCACAGGTTACTGTCCTGCCCATCTGTCTGCCTGTCCTGCAGGCACTTCCAGTGGGGTCTGAGCACAGCTCTTCATGTTGGGTCACATCAGTGGGCAATGGAGGTGTAGCAAACGAGGAGGTGCAATTATGGAAAATATTGAAAGGCATTACATTAATTAAAAACAAAAACAAAGGAAAAGAAAAAAGCCTTGTACAAGGGGCAGATTGTATGAATCCTCTGACTTTGTAGGAAGCTTAGTGTTCTTACCTTGTGTTCTTGGCCAACTTCTCATCGTTGTCTTCAGGATGACTCAAGCATACCCATACTGTCCCCCCTGTATATTACACACTGAAAAAGCCAGAGGTCTCCATGGCCAAGTCTCCTTCCTGACCTTGGCCAGACAGTTCCTAAAATCCCGCATGGGAAGGAGGAGATCACCATGCTCCTGTGTTTGAAGGGGTGACAGTAACACAGTCAGTGGCACGTTGGCCAGAGCATGGCTGTTGCACTCCATTCTCACTTGCTCTTTCTCAGCAGAATCATCTGCAATATGAATTGATTACTGCTGAGAATGCGGCGTATCAGTCTAACTTTAGGAAGGATGCAGAAGAGAATGGAGTGAATTGAAGAGCAATTTAGCGAGAGAAATTACTCAAGCTAGGGGAATTTATTTTTGTAGATAACTCAGTTTGTTTTCAACTACATTTAAACACTTGTGGTAGGGCTGAGGCTCCCTTTGCTGCTGTGCTCCTGCACACAGCCCAGCACAGCTCCGAGCGGTGCAGAAGGAACTCGGGGGGTTGAGTGGCATGTAAGTTGTTGACTAAGGTGTGGGCCTTTCAAAGCCTCTGTCTGTAAATGGCACCAATGGTTTTCTTGTTAATTTTGACTTCATATAATGAAAACATTAATATTGAAAATACCAGAGGATTTCAGACAGCCCCAAGGACATTGACCTCGCACTCTCTGGACAGTATGTGCCAGTGCATCACCGCTCCTTTGTTTCCTAGAAGAAATGTTTCCTAATATCCAACCTGAACATCCCCTGGCACAACTTGGGCCATTGCCTTTTATCCTGGGAGCAGAGGCCGACCTCCACCTCACCACCACCTCCTGTCAGGGTGCTGCAGAGAGCAATGAAGTCTCCTCTGAGCCTCCTCATCTCCACATTGACCCCTGCTCCCTCACCCACTCATTAGGTGTTCTAGTCTTTCTCTCCCACATCTAAGACCATTTCCAAGGACAGAGAAGCTGCGTTCTTCCTGTGTCTGTAGGACACATCTCAACAGTCCATGTTTCATGAACTTATTGGCAGCTTTTCTGCGAGATGAGTTTAGGAAGCAAACATAGATAATGGACAGGAATACACCCTGCTTGTAGAGCTTGCTCTGAGAAAGGTGTTTTCACCTCTGCATATTTAGGGCAGCATTGCAATTTACTCTTAGAGGTGCTTCCCCAGATCTGCATCAGCAGCCTGAGACCTGGATGTCCCATGTCACCACCAGCAGACTCGGACCTCACACTGGGCTTTCCTGCACCATGTTCCCTATTCTGCCCTCCTGCTGCCACTTCACAATGAAAAAAAGCACACTTACTGCTTTTTTTCCAGTTGGCCAAGTGCTGAATATTTAAATCATAGAATCATAAAATCACGGAATCCTAGA